AGGTTGCGATCAGCTCCTAGTCTTAAATCGCGATCAACTTTTAGCTCTGATATTGCGAATAGCCTTAGCTTCGGATCGCTCCATGCTCTCAAATTGCAGTTCTAGCTCTTAGCACTCGATTGCGCCAAGAATAGTTCGAGCTCTTCAGTTCAAGACTGTAGCCTATAATGCAACAACCATTCAGATCAAATAGCTGAGTTTTTGAAATGCGATTACGCACTCCAAAAGCTGGGGGGCTTCTGTTATGCCTAAAAAGTGACACTTATATCAGCTCAATAAATGTCTTTTTGTACTAGCTGCCAAGCCCATTCCTCCTCAAAGATATTCATACCAACCCTATCTCATTTCAAGAGATGAACGGACGAGAGTTCTCTATGTGTCAAGGCAACTTGCAAAACACTCATTACATTAACCTCAAAGATGTATAAATTGGCACTTCTCTTCACGAAAGAGGGGGCTAGGCATATGAGAGCTAGGCATATATTTGAGCTTCATTATTTCTCTCTGTAAACAAAGTATTTCTCCATCTTTGTATGTCTTACGGGTAATATCATAGAAATAGCCAAAGAATATAAAATAACAGTGGATGTAGGATTTGTTTTAAGCATCCGAACCACTATAAAAACCTCTCTTGTTAGCCTATTATTTATGTTTCTTGCAACATATATAGTCTCAACACTATATTCAAATCTCATGGATCCATCACGTGCAATTTCTAAAACTCTCTTAGCACTTTGCACGTGTGAGTCGTTGGCGTCCAAAATCAAGCGTCAACATTTGTTGTTACAATATAAGAGTGATAATCCTCTTTGTTAATCAATTAATTCATAATGAAGAATGTCTAAAAGTTATTTATTACAGAAAGGAAGAAGAAAAAAAAAAAGAGTTAACAAAATTTTTCCACCCAAATAACGGTTTAATAACACCTTTTCTTCCATAAACTTTTAAAATATTACTTTCCCACCAAAAAAAAAAAAAATACACTTTCCGGTTCAGCGGCGAACAAAGAGCAAATTCAATCCATTATTTTTGGGCTTTTGAAGAAAGAAGGCTGATGAGTCTTTTGGTGTCGTGATTGATTGAAATTTGATTTGGGAGAGGTGATTACGCAAACCCTAATCGCTTATTAATTATTATCACCAAATAACCAATAACCCCTAGATCCGAATTAGTTATATATAAACTCCTGAAAATTCCAGTTTAATTGGAAGGTTTTTGAAGAGGGGTCTTCTTGATGTATGAAGTAGACGTCCTGAGCTTTTTAGATTGGGCTTATGCGTTTTAATCCTAGTAGATTTGGGTATTCAAAGTTTACATCAAAGTCAGAAGATCCAATCCCGTCACAACTTGGGCACAAGTCGCTATAACTTGAGTTCTAGGAGTCCAAGTGAGATGATTGAAGATGCGTTGGAAGGCTTATAACCCGAGCTACAACTTTCATGAAGATCCCAAACCCGAATTCAATTGCTTTTTGACCCGAAATCAACTCACAAGTTCCAGCCAAAAATTAATAAGCCTATTTTGGAAAGAGTAGGACTCAATGCTTACAATTTAGGAATTTGAGTTATAAACCATTTGAGAGGCTGTACACATGTTTTTTAGGGGTTTTTGAAGGGGCTATAAATAGAACATTAGGTTTTTAAGGAAAAAAAACACACACAAGGGGATTTATTCAAAAACACATATTGCTCTCAATTTACAGTGTTTGGCTAATTTTTTTCAATTCAGTTCAAGAAGATTTCAATTACTAACACATATTGATGGTATAATTGACAAAGTAATCCTTACCTTTCTATGGATTTGATTTATGTTATTCTGTTTTAATGGAATATGATATTTGATTCATTTAATTTACTTCAGGCCTAGTAGATTGATTGAATTGATATCGATTGCTAGAATTAGGGATTGTATTACGTAATCGATCTTTTCCTAATCACACGAGAGCAATTAGTAATAGAATATTGTGGATAAACTTTCTATTTTATTACTTGAATAACAAAACCTAAGTTAAATAATCTGAGATTGTGAGATTGTTGCTTAGATTAACCTATTTCATTGGAATTAAAGCAACCATTACATTAAATCTAGAGAGCTTGTTCTAGATTGTCTAATGGTTAGAAACTGTTAAAGAGCATGTTTCATTAGTCAGAATTAAGGGGAATTTTGGGTAGTAGAGCTTGTTATTGCCTAGGGTTGATACTTCTATGAAAGGGAAGGATTGCGTTGCAATTGAAATATACATCGATTGTGAGGATGAGATTGAATCGAGAACTGAATTTGTTTTTATATTGATTTTCATTCATAACTTTGTTTTAGTAATTAATTAGATTATTTGATTTTACAAACCCCAAGTTTATATTTTGGTTATCTAGGATTTAATTTTAAACAGTTGAAATTTAGATTCAACTATTTCTCATGTTAACAATTAGAAGTAAGGTTGAACACACGCTGTCATTGACTTGATAATATAACAATTTATTATTGAGTAAACGACATGTTCCCACCCAAAGATTGGCGAAAAGAAAAGTTTCCACCCCTAGTTTCATTTATTTCAAATCCCCACGCTTAAAGTAACATAGTCAGTGAACTCCATATATGTAGGGTACAATTACCAAACTACCCTCCCTTCTTCTTCTTCTCTTTCATCTCCCACTCCTCACTCTTCTCCATTGCCACTACCACCACCCAACCACCATTAGTTATGGCTTTTTTACAGACAGATGGTGGGCGCTAGTGGGTGAGTGGATAATGGTTGTTTTTTCAACAATCTAATCTCCCAAAATTCAACAAATCAACCCCAATCAATAGCCAAACAAACTAGAATAAAAAAAAAACTCTTGCAAAATCATTCTCAAACAACTCCAAAAATCAAATAAAAGCAACCAAAAGTGAAGACCAACCCATTTTGAAGTTCCTTTGCCACTCCTGCCTCATCGACGCATCGTCACACTTCCTTCACTACTCCCGTCGCTGTCAGCGATTATTGAAGTTCTCCTCAACAACTCCACCAAAAACAGCCCCCTACCTTTCCTTTGTCATTGCAAACACCATCCACCAGCCACTGCAAAACCCATTCGCGAATGATAGTTCGCGTGATGCCTGCGCACGTAGAGAAGGCCCTTGCACCTCATCTCCCGCACCTCCCACTCCCGTCTTCCTGCACACCCAGTTAACTTCACCGTCCAGCTGCCGCCAAACACATCTTGTGCGTCTTTGTGCGATAAGGTTTGTTTTTCCGATTGAGATTTGATTGGCAAAGTTGAGTGAATTCAGTTTGTCGGGATTTTGAGGTGTATTCGTGTTGTGGATTGAAGTTATTAGTGTTGGTAGGGGTGTTCAGTTCCGGGTACCCTGCATTTTTTGAAAGAACTGGAACCGATGGTTCCTTGAAATTTGGAACCGGAACCTGTAATGACAATTCCAGTTTCGGTTCTAGGTAAACTATAAAATTACAAGTACCCCCCAAAAGATTTTAAAATGGCAAAAAAACTTTAAAAACTTACAAGTACCCCCCACCTGGCACTTGTTAACAAAAATAAAATTACAAATTATAAATTCAAAATTACCAACTCCATTACTTTGTAAAGGTAGATTCTTAAAAGTCAAACCAACTTACTTTAAATGTTATGAACTATAAATATAAATGTATTTACATTACTTTTTCTAAAAAAAGTTTTTATTAGCCACCATACTCTTTAATTTTATTTTATATTAGTCTCGGTTCCTAATTCTGATTTCTAACTATAGGAACCGAAACTAGAACCGCACAGTAATGATTTCAAAAATTTTGAACCGAAACCTATCTATTGACAGCCGGTTCCGTGCAGGAGTTGGAACCAAATCCCGGGTACCCGTCTATTCCAGTTTCAATCGGTTCTTTTGAACACTCCTAAGTGTTGGTGGTGGAGTTGGAGGTGGAGAGGAAGGGTTGGGTTTGCAGAAAATTTTGAGAGGGTAGGGTTTATTATTTTTGGATAAAAAGACCTAAATACCCCCTTAACCGTTATATTAAACGATTTTTGTTAATTTAATAGTGGGAATTTGGAATAAATGAAACACATGGGTAAAAACTTGTTATTTGGCTAATCTTTGGGTGTGAACATGCCGTTTACTCTTTATTATTTTATTACTTGGGAGGCGGCCACTTCAAATCCTAGTTAGTAAATATGGGTACGGCAAAAAAAGGGTACGGGAATTTGATGGGTATAATACGGCAAACGGTGAAAAATACGTTTATAAAAATTCGGCCATAAAATTCAGATACGGAAAAAATACGATACAGGTATATACGGGTTTAATACGGTGCATTGTCAATAATACGTTTTGAAAAATACAGTAATATCAATCTTAGTGTTAATAATTTTATGGATTACCTGGCTAAAATCAATATAGTATTTCAAATGCAAAGTATTCAATTAACCAATAACACAAATATATAATATATAACTGATATTTAAATTATAATTTCTAGACTAAAACATAATATTTAGCCATGATTCTTTACTAATTTAAAACTTGATAAGTTTGATATTAAATGCAACAAATTTTAACTTCCCATTAATCTATCAAGAAATAAAATTTTATCTTATAAATCTATATAAAAGATTAGTGTTATAATAGTCTAACTATTATTTTATACCTATAATATATGACAGTTTTTTTCACAATAAATTATTATTTTAATATCATCAATCCAATCTAATTTATTAGATAGTACGAAAATAATCGAAGAATATGAAATGATTTTGTATGTCTTTTGAGTTTAAAATGTAAAGGTGTGAGCGGAAAAATGGATGTCCGTAAGTCATTTTGAGTTTTGAATTTTTAGAGGATTATTTTATATTTTTATTCTCATTTTCTAATAAAACAAATGGATGTCAGTGGTTAAACCAGTGTGAAATGGATGGGAAAATGATGTCAATCAGTTTTGTTTTTTATTCCCATTATATGGACGACTGTATAATTCGCGTATAAAATACAAACGATGAAAAATACGTTTATAAAAAAGGAGCTTCATTGGTCGCGGAGCTCCCTCGTGTTTGTTCTCTGAGCAATTCGGGTCGAATTATTCTCCTCAACTTCTTAGAATCGGGTCAAAAGTTTGAAGCGAAGACAACTCGAGTAATCGGGTTTGTTGAGAGTTTAAGCTTTAAACAAGATGAGTGGTCCAAAGAAGAGGACGTTTCAAATAGAGGCGTCCAAGCACCAGGTCGTGGTGGATCCGAAGTACGCAGAGAAGACATGGAAGATTTTGGAGCATGCGATTCACGAGATTTACAATCACAACGATAGTGGACTAAACATGGAAGAGCTTTATAGGTCCATTTCTCAGCCTTTTGTGTGATAAATTTTTTTGCTTTATGTGTCCACTTTTAGATTTATTTTTTATTGATTGTTTGTTAAGTGTTTTTGAGTTGATTTGTTGATTTTGCAAATGGGTTTTTGGTTTTTGTGTGGTTTTGTTTTGTGGGTGTTGTTCTTTGGAGATTGTGAATAGCTTTGAATTTGAACTATTAGGTTGTGAAGAATGTGTAGTGTTACATAGAAGTTCATTATAATTGGTTGAGATGTATATTTTGTGGTGACGGGTTCTTTCTTTTGTGTGATTATGTTTTGTGGGTATTGCTTGGAAATGACCCTAAGCAATTGTAAGAGTGTGATTAGCTAGGCTGATTGCTGAAATTTTGTCAGTTTTTTTCAGTTTTAGCAATCATTTGGCGATCAGTGAGGTGCAAGATAGAGGATTAAGTCTATATAATACTGGGAAAGCAGCTCTATTGACTATTATGTTTCGTCTGTTTACGTCGTGGAAATTGAGTTTTGGAGAGCTATCTTCTGTTGTAAATCTGTGATAATAATAAGAAACAGGAGGTCACTTGTTCAAGAATATTGCCGTGTGTATATTCAGCTAGATGTATTTCTGTTTTTTTTTTTTTTTTTTTCTTTTCCTTTTATTTTTTTTTTTTTTCCTTTTCCTTTTATCTCTTGTTTCCTCCTTGATTTTTTTACTTATTCCCAGTATATTAGTTACCCTAAAATCACAGGTTATGTTTCTCATTCTTGTTGGAATCGTCATGTGTTGGTTTATACAAGTCATGAACTGATTTTTTGATCGAATAATTTAAAAGGCTAATGATTGAAATTGTTTGGATTTTTCTGGGAAAAGTAACTTTGCCTTACTAATCAATAGTTTATATCCTTGCATCATTGTACCTGGAGAATTAGACTTGAAATTGATTATAGTATCGTTATTACCTTTAAAATGTTAGTGGATGTTTATGGATTATTTTATCATATTGTTGTTTTTTGGATCGATCTGGAAGTTTTATTTCTTCCTTTTTGTTTCCTTGTTTTCCCTCATTTGACTGGTTTATTCTTGATAACTAGAGAATTCTGTATTATTGAATGTATAAATCATTTTCTTGTTGTTTGAGGTATTTTGTTTTGCTCTTTGCTTGTTTGTGTATTACCAAACTCCTAGGATGGTTTGGTTTATATTTTCTTCAATTGTTAGTACCTATAGTTTCACAAATTCTTTTGATGTTTATGTAAATTCTGTTTCGTGACATCTGATATTTAGTTGGCATGATTCTTTTAACTAATGCTTCTGATGTTCACATACCTCATTATATTCAGGAATGCTTACAATATGGTGCTGCACAAATTCGGTGAGAAACTATACTCTGGACTTGTGACCACAATGACTTTTCATCTAACAGAAATATGCAAATCAATTGAAGCTGCTCAAGGGGGGCTATTCTTGGAAGAGCTGAATAGAAAATGGGCAGATCATAACAAGGCATTGCAAATGATTAGAAACATATTTATGTACATGGATAGGACTTTCATCCCAAGCACCCACAAGACTCCAGTACATGAGCTAGGGTTGAATCTGTGGAGGGATGTTGTTATTCACTCCAGCAAAATCCAGACTAGTCTTCAGGATACACTTCTTGAACTTGTACGGAGAGAAAGGAGTGGTGAAGTTATTAACAGGGGCTTGATGAGAAATATTACAAAGATGCTCATGGATTTAGGTTCTGTTGTTTACCAGGATGATTTTGAGAAGCATTTTCTTGAGGTTTCGGCTGATTTTTACCGTCTTGAATCTCAGGAGTTCATTGAGTCTTGTGATTGTGGGGAGTACCTAAAGAAAGCTGAAAGACGTCTAAATGAAGAAATTGAGAGAGTGTCTCATTACTTGGATGTAAAAAGTGAAAGCAAAATAACTAATGTGGTGGAAAGTGAAATGATTGAAAGTCACATGCAAAGATTAGTTCATATGGAGAACTCTGGCATTGTTAATATGCTTGCAGATGACAAATATGAGGACCTGGGAAGGATTTATTCTTTATTCCGCTGGGTTCCAAGCGGTCTTATATTAATAAGAGATGTCATGACTTCATACATTCGTGATTCTGGTAAGCAGCTAGTTATTGATCCAGAAAGATTAAAGGATCCTGTAGATTTTGTGCAACGTCTTTTGGATTTAAAGGATAAGTATGACAAGATTATCAGTACAGCATTTGACAATGACAAGACATTCCAAAATGCTTTAAATTCGTCTTTTGAGTACTTCATTAACCTGAATTCTCGGTCTCCTGAATTTATTTCTTTGTTTGTGGATGACAAGCTCCGAAAAGGACTGAGAGGGGTTAGTGAGGAGGATGTAGAGAATGTACTTGATAAAGTCATGATGCTCTTCCGTTACCTCCAGGAGAAAGATATATTTGAGAAGTACTATGAGCAACACTTAGCCAAGAGGCTTCTTGCAGGAAAACAGTCTGATGATGCAGAAAGAAGTCTGATTGTTAAACTCAAAACAGAGTGTGGATATCAATTCACTTCAAAGTTGGAGGGTATACTCACTGATATGAAGACATCCCAGGATACAATGCAAGGTGATGACAAGTTGTTGCATGGAGATGATGAGTGGGAGTAACCGGGTAAGTATTTTTACTCGATGCACTTGTTTATTTCATGTTTGACACTATTACATGTCATTGATAGGAATGAGTTCGATTGTGAAATCATCCAAACTAAGGCTAACTGATCAGGAATTAATAATGAAAGCTTAATTAATCATTTGTCACTGTGACTTCTATTTTGATTTTGAATAATGTATTTGGTTGCAGCAATAAGCTGAACATGGGTGTGAAGAATATTTCTATGAGGCGACGCTGTAAAGCGGTCGACAGAAAATTAAGAGAAGAAACAAAGATGTATGTGCAGAACCCAGGGGAAGAGAAGAAGAGTAAATGACGCTTTCCATTATGTTCATGGCTATTTGAATTAGGCTAATTACAAACGAGCATAGTACATCAGTAGAATGAACTTACGTGAAGAAAAGGGTTTGCATATGGTTACTGTCGTATGTTATGTAAGGATGATATTGTTCTGTTTCACTTTGATCTCCATTTCAGGTTTAATAGGATATCAAATTTCTGGAAATATGGTCTTACGATTCTTCCTTTATGTTATATCATATATTCAGCATACTTTTGTAAATTTTTAAAATTTTATGTTACATGGAGTTGCAATATGTATGATTAATAGGATAAGCACTATGTACGTCTAAGAAAATATAAATAGAAAATTCATAAAGGAACACATATAGCACAATTTACGAGAAAGAAAAAATAAAAAACCGAAAAATGAGATCATAAACACTACTGTCTACTAATTTATTATCCTTGACATCATGTGTTGTTTAAAAAATATAAAATTTATTATGAATTGCTGATGTTCAAAAACACTACTAATACATTATCTTGATTTATATTAATCAACATATTTGTGGATATTTTAAATGATTATGAAACTAGAAAAAAAATTAATTAATTTACCTTTAATCATCCCCACGCCTATAAATTCCCTCACACTCCTTCACCATTATTGCAGTTGGATGAAGAACTACGTTGATAACTCTTCTCTTCATTGATATTCTCAGCAGAAGAGACATTGCTGTTCAAAAAGGGAAAGGAAAATTTTAAATTAAACGGAGGTACCATTACTAAACTAGATTAAGAGCATTAAACCCAAAATGTTCCCCCACTCTATTCATTATTTACAATTTTCATTTTTTAAGTCTCTCCTTCCTATAATATCACATCACTGAACAAGCATTCGGGTTTTCATCGCTAAACATCTGGGGAGCATGAGCATGCACTTGTACGACCGGGTACCCGTATTCGTATCCACTAAACGGGTACGGGTATCCATAGCCCAGCCCGGACAAATTTCCACCGCCACCTCCTCCTCCTCCTTCATTCTCAGCATCATCTTCTATCCCACCATCTTCGCCCTCATCATCACTGCCACCGTTGGATTCTTTCTCCTCATTTTCTTTCTTAGGTGGCACGATCTCAACGGGTCTCTTCAGTCTCTCCTTCAGAGTCTGAGCCAACGCTTTAGCGTCCATTGTTCCTTGTATAGTCACCAGCTCTTTCTGCTTGTCCACTGTCATACTCAGCACTCCTGTAATTAAGTAAGCAACATTAAATTTTATACATAGCCAACATAATTCGCAGACTTTGAAAACGACGCCATAACAGTAACGGTACGGAAATGAGTAGCAATGATCATTCACTCAAACTCACCTTTGGTTTTTAGCAGTGTCTTCTTAATTTTCTCGATGCAACCCTCGCAGTGATAGCCCAGCTTCAAAACCGCCGTCGTCACCGGAGGCTGTAATTATTTGGTGTTATAATATAAGAGTGATTATCCTCTTTGTTAATTAATTAATTCATAGCGAAGAATGTTTAGAAGTTATTTATTACAAAAAAGAAATAAGAAGAAGGAAAAAAAAAAGAAAAAAAAACTTTCTGGTTAGATGACAAACAGTGAGCAAACTCGGTCCATTATTATAGGGTTTTGTAAGAGAGAAGGCTGGTGAGTTTTTTGATAGTCATGATTGATCGAAATTTGACTTGAAATTGGTGGTTACGTAAACCCTAATTGCTCAATTGTTAATAATTGGTGGGGTTGACGAAAGTAAGGTTTAAGGGGTTTTAATAAGTGATTATTGGGAAAGAGAATGATAGTAGTGTGAGGGTGCAACAATACTAGAATCGGCTGACGATTCGTAAGGTCAGCAAGAAAATGTAATCAAATGTATTTTTTGGACAGAAAAGTCGTATTTTAAAAGTATGGGGTGGAAAAGAAACTTGAAATCAACGACAAAGGTTTAATATAATATAATTAATTAAACATAAAACAATACCCACTGGATCCGAATTAATTATATATAAACTCCTGAAAATTCCAGTTCAATTGGAAGGCTCAAACTCAACTTTCTCTTCAAGCTGCGATAGAATCTGCAATTTAATTTAAATTACATCTTCGGATCTGCAACTTAAATCTCAATTTTTTTCCCTAATATAATTCGCAGAAGAACAAGTCTAGAATACAACAGCTTATTAGTTATTATCACCCTCTAATAACATGCATGTATTGTCTTTTGACACTATAAACTTTCTCAAAGCATATAGCAGTTGGGTAATTTACCGGTAGTTCTTGTGCAGTTGGGTTATTTACCGATCCTCCATTTTCTCCATGAATGTTTCCGCCGCCACCTCCTCCACCAGGCTCATCAGTGGAAACATCCACCGCCTGAGCATCCCCTACTTTCTTACGTAGCAAATTTGCAAGCTTAACAGCGTTCAACCAGATTCCTATTACTTCCAGTTTCTCCTCTCCTTGTAAAGTCACTTGTATCACACCTGTTATATACACACACATATATATATGCTACCATTAATCAAAATCCATCAAACTTATTTATTCATCATATAACTACATTTATCAACTTCTTTTTACCGGTAAAGCCAGCGGCGATGGACATGGCCTTAGAGCGAGATTTGAGGTTTCGCATACAAATATCGATTTCTATTTTAACCTGAAACCCCAACCGGTAAAGTAATAAATTAATAGTTGTTGTAACATGAATCGAAATATATATTTATACACACACATATGTATATGTATTTACCGATCCTCCATTTTCTCTATGAATGTTTCCACCGCCGCCTCCTGCACCAGCCTCATCAGTAGAAACAAACAGCAGCTGAGCATCCCCTACTTTCTTACATAGCAAATTTGCAAGATCAACTGCGCCCAATCCATTTCCTATTACTTCCAGATTCTCCACTCCTAGAAAAGTCACTTGTGTCACGCCTGCATGTTATATACACACACACACACACATATATATATATATATATGCTACTATATATTAATCAAAATCAATCAAACTTATTTATCATCATATAACTAAGTGTATCAACTTCTTTTTACCGTTACAGCCAGCAGCGATGGACATGGCCTTAGAGCGAGATTTGGGGCTATCCATATTAATACCGAATACTATTCTAACCTGAAAACCCAACCAGTAAAGTAATAAATTAATAATTTTTATATATAAAGATATAGATATAGATATCTATAACACAAATTTTAATTATTCTATCATTAAATTCATGTAGAGTAAGTTTAATTGGTTTTCATCATAAGAAAAATTATTAGACTCAATACATACCCTCTTCGTGGAGCTGGTGGACATGGTGATCTGGGTTTTGTTGTAGAAGATCGATAAAGAGAAATCAATGTTCCAACGGGCAGCGCTGATGGTCATTGAAGTAAACGAGGAATCAATAATATTATTTATAGAGTTCTTTGGGTACTTGACTTCTATTATTATTTTAATATCCCATACTTGACTCAAATGAAAATTCGCGTTACCATCCGGATTCACTGTTACAAAGTTTTTTTTTTTATTTTTTTTATTTTTTTTTATGGTACATCAGCTAATCGTTCGGGGCCCTTTCTTTATTATGAATGATTGCTTGATAATCTCTTGAAGAAAATCAACTTTCATAAATCATAAGGTCCTCTACGAAGTTTCCCACCTCTTTATCCCAAAAGGAATGTTGATTTTCCTCAGTGTTACAAAGTTAATTGGTGTGTTCCTCACGTTAGGATAATGAAATAATAAAATAGAAAAACCTCCTTAAGACGTTAACAAAATTAACAATTCATATAGCTGTAAAGGCTAAATACTTTTTTATTTTTAACCTTAAATAAATGCTTACAAAAAAGAAAGGGATAACTACTTTTAACCCCCTAATGTTTGCCAAAACGAGGAAAAAAAAAAAAAAACCTTACGCATGTTTTACCCTTCCTTTAACGGGATTTCGTTAACGTCTGACAAACAAATTATTACTGGTACTTAAAAAGGCCTTATAGCTTTGACCAAGCGTCGGGGTTTTAAATAATAATCCCTATTTAATATATTAAACAAAACATTACCCTTGACATTTTGAAATTTTTTAAAAAACTAGCCTTGGGCATCTACCTATTCACTCTAAAGAGTAAAGAGTGACAGAGTCACCTCCCCAACATCTCAGTAATCCCTCTTAGCCATAATTAAATAACAAAAATCTCTTCATGATCATTGTAATAACAGAAATCCTTTTGCCGTTTAAGTTGTTTGTGTTAAAATAAATGACAGATGACAATTAGGTAAATATTCATTATAAATTCTAAAGACACACAATGGTTGCGTTTGTTTCATTTTTCCCGTTCGAGTCCTATCCAATCCTACCCAAAATACATATTTGTTTTAATATTCTCAAAATCTAATCATATTCTATTCAACTCAAAATATTTAGATTTTATTAACCCCCTAGGTTTGTTGATTTAATTAAATACCTCATCCACCCATATATTCCCGACAGCTAACCACCATTGTCGGAAGGTGACTGGAATTTGCTGGAATGACGCACGACCGGCTGGATGTGGCTGTTGTGCACCGATTTGGAATTTTTTGGAAAGATCTATGATGAATAGGTCAGATCTGGCCAAATATGGTCATTAACGACGGCCAAGATATGACCATTATTGACAACCAAATGTGGCCAAATTTGGCTATCAATGGCTAAATCGACACACAACTGGTCAAATTCAGTGGGTCATGCACTATTCCGACTACCCTCCAACTGTGGTGGTCGGTTGTCGGCATTTAATCGGTAAATAGGGGTATTTTTGTTAATTTTTAATATTTTATTGTATGGTGTGTTTAGATAAATTAACAAGTATAAAAGATTAAAAATAATCTAAATATTTTTAGAAAATGTTTTCCAAAAATTTATCAAACACATTTTCAAATTCAAATCTTATTCTTGTGATAATAACCCAACTCAACTTTTTCAAAAATACTATTCTAAATACTCTACCAAACGCAACCAAAAGAATTTATGTTATTACTAAAATTTTAGAAGGAATTTTGTTATTTAATTAAACCTACCTTGGGGGTTGAGAAAAACCCCTTAATTGAATAATAAAATTTTGAATGCAGCTTCTCCTTGTTGGATTGCTGAATAAGAGGAAATTATTTACAATTTTCGATTAACTAAATTTTTATTATAAACGATATACTTTTAAATATTATATCTTCAATAGCATGTCAAATTACTTATGGTGCATTATACTATATAAAAAAAAAAAAAAACACAAAATTAAAAGAGATGAAGAAGAGGGTATTGATGAATGAAACTTGAAATATTGATGGTCATTATGTTAGTTTTATTAATTTGGGGTTAGAATTTTTTTGTCTTTTTATTTTACTCTTTATTACAATAAAGAGTCTTTTGAGGGCTAAAAAGAGTATTTCAATGGTCGAAATTGTTCAATGAATATTTTATTAAGGTCATCATCCATGCCACATAATAAAGGTGCAAACTTTAGAATGGGAATAGTAACGCGGAATAGATAGAAATCTAAGTCTATGTGACCCAAATCTCATGATTAAGTCGTGGAAGAATCATGGGCTCCGTTTGGTTCACAATTTTGTATTTTTGGGAAAAGTTTTTTGAAAAAAGTTAAAAAAAAAGTTGAATTTGGTGGGATGTAGGATTTACAAATTGTAAAATACCCCCTATGTTTGTTTTTTTATAAAACACCCCTTATAATAAAACATTAAAAGTTAACAAAAACACCTCTAATCCACCCTCAAATACGGACAGCCGGCCACCACCGTCGGAGGGTGGCCGGAGTCGCCGTAACAAAAACATTAAAAATATTTAGGGGTATTTAATTGAATTAATAAATTTAGGGGGTTTAAAAAATTTTGAATAAAGTTGAATAATATTATGAGTTTTTGGGTATTTTACTGTTTAACTTTTTTGGGAATACTAAAAGTAGTATTCCCAAAATCCAACCAAACGAAGCCATGGAAATTAACATTAAAAGCGTAGTGTAAAATCATTACACAATGTATATTGATTTTAATTACATATTTTATTAAGGTGATTATGCCACATAATAAACGCGCAAACTTTAGAATTTCCAATACCCCGCGGAATAGTATTCTTATAATATTTTCATAAATAGAAAATCTAAGCCTACATGTCCCAAATCCAATCATGTCAATAACTTTTAATTTTTAATTTCATGATTAAGTCATGGAATTTTGGAAATTAACTTTAGCATGTTGACCTTACGACGACCTTGCCTTCCATATAAAATGTACTTTACTTTGAATGAGCCTAAGACTCATTATGTTACTATTCTACTTATGATTTGATTTTTTTTTTTTTTTTTTTTGGGTAACTGTGATGTTAAGACCAAGCTTGCACACACCTCTTACCGTCTATTGAATACCCTACAATACCGTATAAACTCAAAAAACTAGATAA